AAAAATTTCGTGGAAACAGATGCGGGCAAGATGCAACCATGATGCGGGATGCGGCCATGATGTGGCCTGATGCGGCGCATATGCGCCTGAATGGGATGCGGATGCAAGCGCATCCTGTATGATGCGGCCGCATTTTAAAACATTGGTCTAGCATGATTTCTCTATACTTCCATACCTTCCTAACGATTACAACATATTTTAGTCTTTAGGATATGTTGGATGCCAAAAAATATGCACTTGGTTGTGTCTGTATCTAGGCCTTACCTATGTATGGGCATGGATGCATGCATATTATGCTACCTGAAGCATTGTTGCATGAGACTTTTTGGGGACTTTGGACTTCTTCTTGATGTGAGTTACCATGGATTGGAGACTGTCTTTGACCGAAAATAGTTGAAGACTCCTTCACGAAGTGTTGAACTTTGTGCTTTGCCTCTGGATAATACTCAAGGCCTTTGATGCTCCACATCAGACTCGTGTAACTGGATGAAAATTGCTGACTTGCTCCATCTGGGTGGACCACATTTCACTAAGAAATGTGTCGATTTCTCTTGTGGTTTACTGTTTATCAGAGAAGTTACAATGTTGTGGAGAAGTTTCAAATAATTTGAAAATTGTCCATCTCTACTAGAATCGGTTTGTGACCTATATGGTTTAATACAAGAGAAGGTCCTCCTTAGGAGAAATGGTGTCATTTCTCTTGGAGCTGTCGATGTGCCTCCCTAGAAATCTATTTTATAATGTAGAGCTCTATGCACATGTTATTCATAGACTTTATGAATAGTATAATAAGTTTTGAGTTGTATAAAAATTAAAGGGAAATTAGGGAGCACATGATTGCCATACTCGCTGATCAGAATCTGATATCCAAAGAGTGTCGTGGTTGATTTGACTGGTGAAAGAACGTTATTGTCCAACCAATGTTGGATGATGGAAAGACCTGTGGTGGTAGCTGATACATTTCTATAATTTATTTTACTGACCAAATGCCACTGGCTCTCTTCTGGTCCAATAATTAACTTTATTACCATGAACTATATACGGTCTGTTTCGTTGTTCAAATGGTGCTGTTGAGCTCTCTTCTGATCCAATAATTTAGTTTAGTTCAGTGAAGTAAACTTATGCCATTTAAAACTTAAATTAATCCATAGTGAAAAAAAAGAAACTTACACTAATCCGTCAAGCGAAAGGATAGTAACTTGCTTGGTTGTCCATTTGTATTGTGGTTCTTCATTGTAATCCCATGTTTGACCCACGTATATCTGTGGTGTTTCTATCTTTGATCGGATCATTAATGATGATGATCATGTCTTGGTTGAGTTGGGAACTAGCCTTTTAATGCAGTAATCGAACCCTATGTCTTGCCATAGACGGAGCTGATCTGGATTGAGCTAACTTTACTGCAGCTGATGGTGGAACTTGATATACCATCTTTTATCTACTTAGTTTTGGTTTAACCCGGGGGCATCATAAACACCTTTTGTAAACTTCTCATATCCCATACTCCAACCAATATAGTTGCTTAAATGCAAGTTGTTCTGGCTTCCCATACCCATACTTCAAACACATGGTTGCTGTTATCTACAAAAGTAAAAGTAGGTTGCTCCTGAAGGATGGATATTTTTAGTAATTCAGTATACTATCCTAAAACAAGGATTGCAAAAAGTATATTGCTGCACTTCATCTGCAGACCATTTGGCCTAGCCCTTGTATTATTTTATGTTGGATACATACACTTCCTTTATTCTTTTCTCTTCTTTTTCTTTTTTTTTGAAATGTATGGTACACACACTTGTAGTGCTAGAAAGGAAGTCACAAACTGAGGGCCTGCCATACTCAATTTTATCATTGTAATTTCTTTATTCAGTGCGTAACAGTTATTAATAAAAATGGTTTAGTTATCTTTTTTTTTCAAAGACCTCTTTTTTTTTGTCGAAGACCTCTTTCTTAAATTCATTTTACCTCTCTTCAACACTGGAAATGAAGTGTGCTGTGAATAGTGTCCAAAGGAAATTGGGGTGGGGGATTTCCTTATCAAAAGTTTGAGATTGCCACCTAGTTTTATACATCGTGCTTATATAATTATCTGCACCATGTTCAACTTGCCAACCTTCTATACCATCATATCCAATAATTCAAAGAGTAATCATTAGGTTTTGGTCTCTAGAGTTTCGTTGTTATTCAAATAGGTTTGCTGGTATTTTAGAGTACTGCAATTTAATTAGTCACATTTTCATTTTTACTTGCTTGTGGTGCTAATGCTTTGATCTTTAGCTGTCACATGCTGAATCAAGATATCAGCTATCACATGCTGACATAATTGATCCCTTCCTTATTGGGTGCCCAAATTTGATTGCAGATGATATATCTGCTTGATTTTTTGTTGTATTTTAGGAAGTAATCATAAATGAGCGAACGTTTTGTCAAAGTTCAGATATATGTTTAAAGCTTCTTTATTCTGGCAGTCAGAATGCTGTTGCTCCTTATATGACCTCTGTGTGTGTGTGCATGTGCTTACACGTGCATGCTTGAGCACATGCAGGCATGCATCCATGTCTGCATGTTCGTAGTTCTTTGTATAGTTGGAGATGGAGATTAATGTCATTGGAAATTACATGAGGTTAATGCTTTGGATGGCTTTGATGTTACTTATACAGCTTTACATGAGTCTTGAGTTGCCAAAATATATTGGGGATTCACCTTACTCTTGCCGAGGCCTGTGCAACTAGTCTGCACAGAACTTGACTTCTTAGCTCTTTTGACTGGATTCCATTTGAATTGGCAAGTTGCATTTTCTTTCCAACTGTTATGACCTATGTAACCCAAATGCCGAGACAGTTCTCGGCTCGCTAAATGTGAAGGAGTGGAGACCCAAAATCAAGATACGTCTCTGAGAAACCCGTACATGATAAAGAAAATTTATGGAAATTGTAAAAGTTATGAAACATATGAATATATGAAATTGAAAATATAGTATTAGTAAGTTAAAAAAATTAGGTTTTCTTAGCTGTTTGGAGATTTTTCAAAGAATTTTAAGTCCAGACAAAATTATTAGTCTTTGTTTTTAATTTATTGTTTGAGTTATTTATTGCCATCGTTGTCTCCAAATTAGATGCTTATCAAATACTTATGCTCTTAGAACTTATATATATATATATATATATATATA